GAGAGAGAAGAAAACAAAACAAAGAAAACAAAAACAAACAAACAAACAAAAACCCAAAAAAACAAGAAAAAAGAAATGTCCCCGGGGATGTCCCTGCGCATCTGTGCAGAGTAAGGGAGTAGCTTCCAAACCATGCGGTACTGCTAGAATGGGCTCCAAAGCCAAGAAAAAAAGAAAACAAACAAATCAGAACAAATCAGAGCAAACAAACAAAGCCCCGGGGGTCCCACCGTCATGGGGGCACGGGCCGGGAAGCAGTTTCACAGTCAACCAGTGTCTCGCAGCCTTTCAGGAAGAAGCAAAGATGGCACACGGAGCCAGGTATTTGAGAGAAAGGAAGGGGAGGTGGTGAGAGGTAAGGAAGAAATCTAAAGAAGTAGAAAAGAGCAACACCAGCAGCCAACAAAAGGCACTCAGGGAGCCGGCCAGTGCGGGCGGGTGGAATCCAAGCGACACCAGGGTACTTCCCTGCCAAGAGACTGTGGCTGCAGGAAGCAGAGGAGGCTAAGTGGGGCTGAAGAAGGGTAGGGGGTGGGAAAGCATATATCGCTGGTTACCAGTTGTTCTTTCTCCTGCTGGAAGCTCTGCTTTCTCGTACCCTCTGTTCGCTGATCTCTGATAGGAGTCCAAGATGGCGTATCCATGCTGCGGTAGCTGATAGGGGACCACTGCATGTATCTCTCGTCGCTCTCTGTTCTCGGTCAGTTTCTTATTCCATTCGGTGCTTGACTGAGTTCTTTATCTCTTCATTTGATGCTTAGGGTTTCAGGATTGACGTGTGACTCTGTTTGACTTAGTTTTTCTGATCTTTGCTGCAGAGGGACAGCGTGGTGCTTCTGACTATAGTGCCATGTTGCCTAGAAGTAACAACTGATTATTTTAATCAAGTTTAAAAATGTTTGCCAGTAGAAACTGCTATCTGATTGTTTCGGCTTGCATCTCTGTTTGTATAAAGACTTTCAATATGTTGATGGACTACTTGTACTTGTGTTTTTCTTGGAAGTATTTTCTCCTTTATCCATTTCTCTGTTAGTTTCATTGATCATTTGCTCATTGATTGTGAAAGCGCTTTGTAAATGAAGGACACTGGAGCTTTTTTTTTTTTTTAATGGAAAGGCATGCTTTTATTTCAAAGCAACCTGAAAAGAGCAGTCAGAGGCACCATGACTGCAAACTGGTAGAAGGGGGGACACGGTTATGTGTCCA